TGCTGGTGCTGGTGGTGGTGGTGGTGCTGGTGGTTTTGGTGGTGGTGGTGGTGGTGGTGGTGGTGGTGGTGGTGCTGCTGCTGCTGCTGCTGCTGCTGCTGCTGCTGCTGCTGGCGTTGGTGGTGGTGGCGGCAGAGGCGGGCGGTGATGGTGTTGCTGCTGCTGGTGCTGGCGCTGGGGCTGGTCGCGGGGGTGGTGGTGGTGGTGCTGGTGGTGGTGCTGGTGCCGGTGCCGGTGCCTGTGGGGGTGGGGGTGTTGGGTAGCTAGTTGTTGCAGATGCTTGTTTCCATTGTTCGATATTCATCGGTGTGTTGTCTTCTTTGCTGTTATGAAACCTGGAACTCATGGGAGCTGCAAATGCTCAGCTTAGCGAGGATTCCCCTGGAACTGGAAAAGCTCCGGCCGATGCTCATACAGCCTCGAGAGCAGGTATTCTTCATCGAAGCACGGACAGCCGGAGTCATGGTCACCTGAGCAAACCCTAAAACTGAAAGCAACATTAACTCTGCACCCCCAAATACGAACAAAACAGACCCGCTGTCTCAACTGCACACAGCCCCTACAGCGCTGATCCTAACTCGTGCGGTTTGGGGCTGCAGGATTGGAGGTATTGGGATTTGGGATTTAAAGCTGTTGGGCATTCATGCTTAGTAACGGATAGGGAAAGCTGTTAAAAGTATTGCGCGGATGGTTCTCTGCTGTTCCGCCAGCAGGTTGGCTCCGCAGGTTGCGGTTGAGCAATATAATTAATACCCCGTGTTGTCGCGGGGCCCCACCCCCCACTCTGTTACAAACCCTTGTCGTGCCGGCTTTGTTTCAAACCTTTGTCGCGCGGCAATGCCATATGATGGACCTTGTCGCGCCAGCCTTGTCGCAAAAAACCCATTTTTGTTACAAACTTTGTCGCGCAAGGGGCGCCCCGGCCCTGTTACAAACCAGAAGGTTTTGACCCGCTGCCAAATCGCATATGCCAACCTAGCCCAGCACCACAACAGCAAGAAATTTCCAGAACGGTTTGGCAGCTGGCATCTGTGGGTGCGTAAAGATTAATTCCGAGGTTCCGGTCCCACTACTTTCCAAACGTTTGGACCAGAATTCCACCAAATGCGGCTGAGTTTTGAGGGGTCGGGATGGCTCAGACAAGAGGCCCAAGCCACCCAACTCTCTTCCCCCATGCCAGAACAGAAATACATACTACCCTTTGGGGCGTCGAAAGCCGGAAGCAGGTGCAGCGTGTGGGGTTTTGTAAGCCCAGGTTGCGCAAGTGGACACGATAGCGAAGTTCAGCAAAGCCACGGGTAGCAGCCAAGACCTGGTCGTACGCCTGCATGAGCTTGGGGCAATCGGAGCCGTGCACAGCCAAATACCTTGCAGAGCAAACCCAAGTCCTATTACTCATGAGAGGGTGATTCTGGGATTTAAGATTACTTACCGTTCGGCGATTCGGGTTGGGGGCCTACGACGACGACTACTACGACTACGACTACGACTACGACTACGACTACGACTACGACTACGACTACGACTACGACTACGACTACGACTACGACTACGACTACGACTACGCCTACGCCTAC